TAAAATTTCTGCTTGATTCTTCTGTACATCTTTTATTATTATTATTTCTTTGCTGAAACTTTCTTTTACTTTGCTGAAGATTTTTATTTCTTCATTTGTTTCAAGAATATTTCTAGGTGGATGTGGTGGTGCACGCCTATAATCCGGCTCAGGAGGATTGCAGGCTCGAAGCCAGCCTCAGCACAGCTTGGCAAGATCTTCAGCAACCTACTGAGACCCTGTCTCAAAAAAAAAAAAAAAAATTAAAAGGGCTGGATTTTTGTGTTCATTCAGTGGTTAAGCACCCTTGAATTCAATCCTGGTACCAATATATGTATACACATACGTGTGTGTGTGTGTGTGTGTGTGTGTGTGTATTTCTAATTTCTCTCTTATGGATGCTTTAAAATATTTGTCAGATAATTCTAACATCTCTGTCATCTTGGTGCTTTCATCTATAGATTATCTTTTTTTCATTTGGTTTTAGATCTTCCTGCTTCTTGGTATAACAAGTAATTTTTGATTAACAGGTTTCTTCTGACATTGAGGGCAGGGCAACAGCACTCACTTTTTAAGGGCTGTAGAAATCCACATTTCCTACTTGGCCTCAGTTCACACCCCTAGATCTTGGGGCTTCTTATGCCTGGCTGAACGAAAGTGAGAGTTCTATATTGCCCCTGGTCTACTTCATCTTTCTGGAAGTGTTAAGTGTAGCCTTTCCAGTTTTGAGTAAACAGTGAATGATCAAGGCAATGGTTGGGATATTTGTTTTCTTCTTTTTTATGTCTATGTGTTCTAAATTTTTTAAAACAAATTTTAGAAATAGATTATTTTGTATTTTTTGTAATATGGAAGTGTACTACATTTTAGAATTACTTAAATCATCCATGCTACATTATGCTTTTTCTGGCAGTCACCAACTCTTTTCACAAGGGTAGTGGAATCAGAAGGAATATTACACTAACACAATAGCATAGGTTGTATTCTCTGAGAAGACTTCAAGGTGGAGTTGTGGGAAGTAATCTCAGGACCTTCACCTGTGGAAGAGACATGGATGAGAGCTGAGTGCACAGAGAAGTCAGCCTGGATACAGGCTTCAAAGGAAGCTCTGGGAGTAAGAGAGCCCTTCCAGGTTGATCTGTGCTACCCTGGGATAGCCAAGCTTTACTCATGACTTTGTCTAGTTCTGCATGTGGACTCTGGGAAGACCATTACCTGGATGAGGGAGTTCTCTGCAACTGAGGCAGTTTCCATAGTTAACTTCCAGCTGAAGGCTGTGAATGGGCCCATGCCCAGCACCTGGGGCCACAAGCCCTTCATTGAAGGAGCATCCATGTGGTACATCCCTAAGTCTGTCCTATAAAGATGTTTCTAATGGGAAGTATTTGAGAATATCACTTCTAATCTTTCTAGATCCTGTTGCAAAAGACAGGAAGTGACAAAAGTCACATAGTAATGACTCCCTTCCCCAATATTTCTCCTCACAGCAACCACTGTGACCTTTTCAAGGTGCAAACCTGATATGGTCATTTTCTAACTTAAAATGCTTTGGTGACCTCTTGTTACACCAAGGACAATGGATCTCGAAGCCTTACATCATCTGAGCCTGTCCCCTCTCTGGCATCTCTCTTACCTCTCTTACCCTGCCACCCATGACAGGCACCTTACTTTCTTCTTTCCATAGCATATGTTTCCTCTGCTTTAAAGACTCCACTCCAACATGACAATCCCATGAGTGATCTTACATTGCTGTTGTCAAAAGCTCCCTGTTATTTTTGTACTTATGTGTGTATGCCAGACTTTAATTTGGGGACACCTGTTAGTAATCAACCATCTTGTCTCATTGGACTTGCAGGTGCTGAATTGCTACCATGGTGATGAATATTGCTGCTAAAAATATTGTCCTTTATCTGATAGGGGTATTGACTTGATGCCCCAATTGATATTTTTCTCTGAAGGAAGAGGCCTGTTGTTTTGAAATACTTAGGTATTTTGTGATGAAATGTCAAGATAGAAAAGGAAATGCAGAGAAAGTGCCTGGCAGAGCACACTGTGGTGGGCAGGTACCCACTTCCACTTCACTTTAGTGGCATTTTTTAAAATTGTGGGTCTGTTCAGTCAACACCTTACAAGTTAGATAAACTATGTTCACATTAAAGAAGCCCTTCAAGGGGGCAAGGTGTTTAAAACAGGACTAGGAGAAGAACAAAAGATAAAACCATGGTCTGCACAATCATAAGGTTAAGGTATTTGTAGTCTGAATAATTCAGCATCTGGCATAGAGGTAAATTTGAGACTGTATGCCAAAGGTTTGGAAAAATTTCCCTTTTCTTCTACTTCATATGCAACCACTCAAATTCCTAGGGGGCCTTCCCCAGTGATCCTCTCAGACCTTAAATGTATCTCTTTCCTTCCTTCTACCTATGCCCACTATTCAGGTGTCAACTCCAAGGACATTTGAATTTCTGGTACCTGTTAGTCTTTGAGTATTGGAAATCATAAAATGGGACTTTCTATCCACCCACCAGAACAATGATGAAAGCTCCCCCCTATATTGGCACTCCACTATTCCTCCTAGAATACCTATTAGTTTCTCCACCTCTGTACACACATTGGTTTCTTTGGAGAGGATCCCTAAGTTTTCCTATAAACTCAAATTTTGTCCTCAAATTTTGTCCTCATAGATGCTAGTGTCATAGAAGAGAATAAGCCAAGAGTTGCAAGGCTGGGTAGGTCTCCCCACTCAGGCTCATACAGGTATACAAACTTCCCACAATCCAATTTTTATCATCTGTTGTTGTTTTCTTTTTTATGTGTTCTAAATTTCCTAAAAATAGATTTAGAAATAGATTATTTTACATTATTTTTTGTAACAAGGAAATGTACTCCATTTTAAAATTACTTAAAATCAAAATGCTACATATGTTTTTTCTGGTTATCACCAACTCTTTTCACAAGTTTAGTGAAATCAGAAGGAATATTACACTAAATGGCATAGGTTGTATTCTCTGAGAAGACTTCAAGATGGAGTCTTTCCATAGACTCATGAATTTATCATTTTTAAAAATTAAAGAACAATGCAGCTGGGCATGATGGCTCATGCCTGTAATCTCAGTGGCTCAAAAGTCTGAGGTAGGAAGATCAAAGCTAGCCTCAGGAACTTAGGATAGGCCTAAGCAACTTAGTGAGACCCTGTCCCTGGTACAAAACAAAACAAACAAACAAATAAGAAACAATTTTTTAATCCTTTTTTAAAAAATTGTCAATGGACTTTCATTTTATTTATTTATATGAAGTGCTGAGAATCAAACCCAGTGTCTCACACATGCTAGTCATTTAGCCACAACCCCAGCCCCAATGCAACTTTTTATAATAGAGATTTTTAAAATTTATATTCTCATTTCTAATGTGGAATAAGTTTTAAATTTTTAGAATCATTTTTAAGACATACATAATTTATATAGCTATTTACTACCTAGTATTTTGGACATTATTATTATTTTTCAGTACTAAGGATCAAATCCAGGGCTTCATACATGCTAGACAAGTGCTCTACCTCTCGGCTATACCCTTGGCCTCCTATTATTTCGTACCAATATATTTAAACACTTTCCATATTTCTGAATTCCACATGTTCTTTTTATGTCAGAATTTTCATTTTAAACTTTTCAAAAGATCTTTCAGAATTAGTTTGTCACGAACCTCTCTTGTGCACATATAAAAAGGAAAACGTAAGTGAAATAATTTGATTAAAGTATTTCTAAAGTAGTGACAATGATATACAACTGCTCCTTAGCTGACAGTAATTTAAAATCCATGTGATTTCAAAGATGTTAAAGTCACAATAATAAACTCCCATGGATACACCCTCTTGCTTAATATGGCAATTCACACTGTTGAAATTTGTCTGCCTCCTACATGTCACTCCTTTCACCCTGTACGTCACCACTGTCCTGAATTTTGTGTTTATCATTCCTTTATTTTTCTCTGCTTTCAGAAAATATGCACCACTGACCATTGTTTGATCTTATTTTTGAACTGTCCTACAGATGAAATGCCAAGGTATTTTATTTTATTACTCAACATTGTGTAAGATTCATCCATGCTAAGGTGAATGGCTGCTATTCATTTTCACTACTGTCTAATGGGCCCTGCAGGCATATACCAGATTTATCAATTCTTTTGCTTGATGAAAATTTGAGCTCTTTCCAGGGTCTTGCTGTTAAAATGGTCTTACTATAAACATTCTCCTATCTCCTGGTAAGCATTTTTGAGAGTTTGTCCTATGTATTTACATAGGAGGAAGGAGGATTGTTAAGATTGGATCAGAGGTCAGCAAACTTTTTCTGTAATAGGCCAGATAGTAAATATTTGTAGACTGCGATCCTTATAGTCTCTCTGGCAACAACACAAATCTGTCATTTCAGTGTGGAAGCAGCCATAGATGGTATATAATTGAAAGGCTGTGCCTACATTTTAGTAAAACTTTATTCACAAACCCAGGCAGTTGGCAAGATTTGGTCCTCTGAACATGGTCCGCCAATCCCTAATCTAGATAGAATCCCCTATCCCCAAATGCCACTGTACCCTTTCCCTTTTTCCCATGGGTTTGTAAAGACTGTCTTTTCTGAGTTTGTGAACTGGACTGAATGTCCATGTTCACAGACCTTCAGAAGAAAGGGAGGATTGGCCATGGGGACCTGGTGGGGGGCATTCATCCCATAGTCTATGACCTCCATAGTCTTAAAGAACCAAAGGCAGACAGGGTTGAAGCTTTTGCCTCACACTGGCTCTGCTACACTTCTGGTGAGAGGCTCTACCTGCCTGGAGTATAGGTAATGTCACAGAGGCCACTATGAAGTCATTGCCAGGCTGTGGGATAGAGAAATTCAAACAGAAAATTGCATTATTTTGGAGTTGTGTGACCTTTATTATTTAAACTGCAGTCAGGAAAACTGAAATTGGCTCACTGGGTATACTTCTGAGCCCTTGATCTCACAGCTTCCTGCTCTAGCTTCTATTTAAATGGATTTGGCTTCAAAGATGAACCTTTCTGTCATCTCAGATGTCACAGTACCAGAGATCTCTAGATCCTTGCCTTCCTGGGCTCTCTCCACCTTCCCCTCTATGTTGTGCTTTTCCACCGTCTTGGTCACGATGTCTAGCTCTCTATCACGTGATGTAACAACTGTTTTTGAACTGGGCATAACCATGAAGCTCCTCAAAAAAGAGCCAATTTTACTGGATTTCTTACTTAAGTTAACTGAACTAGTTGCAGATCGGCTCTTCCCCACTTTGTGAATTTTCCTGGACTCCTTGGTAGAGGAACTATGGCTGGCACTTTTGTGAGATGAGCCGCGTCCTTTCCTGTGTCCTTTGTCTTTCCTGTCATCTTTTGTTTTTCCGTGGTGTTCAGATACAGACCTATGGGAGGATGATTTCCGGCTCTTTTCCCTGCTTGCCTTGTGATGGGTTTCACCTGCTCTCCGGTGCCGGGAACTTTTCCTACTGGCATGTTTGTCCTTCTTTTCTTTTTTTTCCTTTTTTTCCTTCCGGCCTTCACTGCTGGTCTTGGAAACCTTCTGGCTTCCATCCCGTTCACACATATAGCCTTCGCTCTGCAAGGTTGATACGAGGGGTGCCACCGCAGCTGCTTCATCTTTTCCTGTCTTGGTTGTTGTACTGGTCATTACAGTCCCTGCAAACACCACACTCATGCTGCTGCCTGGGGAGATGCTGACAGCTCCACCTGAGGAGCTTTGCCCAGTGGAACCGCTTGCAGCACCAGCCAAGGCTACATTCACTTCTTCTGAGGAGACAGCAACTGCTAAAGCCTTGCTAGGTCCAGCTTCTCCTGCATCCTTGGTGGCTGCTCCTGCCAGGGCTGCAGTTACCGGGCTGGAGCCTCCACCTCCAGGCATGGTGGCTGCTATACCTAGAGCACCTGAGGCAGGGCTGTTTGCTGACCCACCTCCTGTTGCTGCCCCTGCAACAGTCAAGCCACCTGTTGTCCCTGCTATTGCTCCTTCTTTGGTAGATCCTGAAGTGCTGATGACAGCTGCAATAGCACCTTGAAGTCCCTCTCCTCCAGCATAAGCAGAAGAGGAGGCTCCAGACAGTTCCTGAAGCTTTAGAAGCCCAGAATCCTGATCTCCTTCTCCATGGATGTCTGAGGCCTGTGCCAAGGAGAGGAGAAACAGGTGAGATTGAAAAGGAGAGGCCAGAACTTTCCATTCCTTTTTCATCCTGGAGCTGAGCAACTCAAGATATTATCATAGGAAGAACCTTTGCAACCATCAAATCTAAGCTCTTATTTGTTACAAGAGTAGCATCTCTGTGAATAATCACTCAGTTTCACTTCAACCATTCTAGTTCCAAAGAAAACACAGAATCAAGTCCCTATCCCTGTGCAATTTCTTTTACATACATGTGCCTCTACCTTTTCAGATTTCTAGAAGTGGGATTATTGAGTCAGGAGATACATTTTACATGTTGGTAGCTACAGAAGCAAGTTTTGCATGTGTATGCACATAAGTGGGTTGTGTTGATTTAAAGAAAAATCAGTGCATGGTAATCATGGAAAGGCAAACATGGTTCAGATGAAGGAAGCACTTCCTAATTGCTAAAATGTACTACACTAAAAAGTTGATCTCATAGAGGTAGAGAGTAGATTAGTGGTTACCAGAACATGAGAAGGATATAGGGAAGGAGGGATGTGGAGAAGATGATTAACACATATAGGGGTATAATTGGACAAGAGGAATAACCTCTAGTGTTCTATATCACTATAGCATGACCATAGTTGGTAGCAATTAGCTTTATATTTCAAAGTAGCTAATAGGATTTTGGAGGATTTAGGAATCTAGCACAAAGAAACAAATAAATGTCTAAGTGTTGGGTAGGCCATTTACCCTGATCTGATCATTACACATCGTATTCAAGCATTAAGATGTCATACTGTACACATAAATAGGTACAATTTTATGCACCAAAAATAAAAATATATTTTTAAAATGTCCATAACAAATGAGGCTGTCTGGGTTTGTGTATTAAGAGTTCAAGAAGAGATTATATAATCAGAATGTCATAGAAGGGACTAAAATCCCAGGTGTGAGACAGAGTAGTTGATACATAAGATTTCTGACAACCAATCTTATGGGATATTTTGGAGAAGCACTTTGAACCTCCACTTGAGCCCCTTCTGGTGGCTCATTTGGCCTTGAGCCTTTTCAAATGCAGTGCATTTCCCAGCTCAGCCCCAGAGAACAACAAAAAACTTTCTAGGACCCAGTTTGAGATGCTCTCCCAAAGCACTCTGCCTCATTTTCCTAAGTCAGTACTTACCAGTAGACTTTTGTCATCCTCAGTATTTCCGTCCCCAGTCTGAATTGTTGGGGTACTGCTGCAGCTCTCTGCTGGTGGCCTCAGAAGATAGACAAGCTTTTCCCAGTAGCAGAAGAGGTCTTCTCGTACATCTGAAGAGGGACAAAGCTGCAGATAAAAAGTCCGGCCTGTGGCAAGCTTCAAACGCAGTTGCTGTTTCTCACGATCGTGGATGGAGATCTTGACAAACTTCAAGGGAAGTAGCCTGGTGAGCTCTAGAGTCTTCGCAGACTTCCGTCCTCTCCCTTTAATGGTCTGGCCACGTCTGGCATGCTCTTCACAGACTTTAGCAGGTCTGGCCAGCAGCATGACGTCAGGTAGTGGAAGGATGGGGCTGGTGGAGGCGATGCCCACTGTCACCATTCGAACACGGTTGTGAACATCAATCACCTCTCCTTTTTTGCTAATCTGGATAAAATCACTCTCAAACATGGGTGCATACTTGAAAATGTCGTACTCTCCTCCCTTGTACAGTTGTCGTTGCAGGTCCCCCATGGAGGTATTGAACACACCCATTGAACGGTAGCTGTGGGCTGTGTAGTAAGGTAACACACATTCGCTACTCCTGGGTCTCTTTATTCCAGACATCTTTGCCAGCCACAATTTGAGTCCCAAAGAGAGAAGAGGGAATGATGGCAACTGCCCATCTCCCTGCAAGGCTTCTGCCTCTGTCTCTTCAAACCACCTTATTTATCCTCTCCTGTCCTTTGTGACCTGTCACCATCACACACCCCTTTGTCCTCACCCCTGAGCAGCTACCCTCTCAAGGCTGGGTCAATAGCCTGTCTGCAAATATACCACCACCTCCACAAGGGCAGGCTGATCCTGCTAGGGTAGGCTGGATGTTCTTTTTAACCAAAATGTTGGGATGCTCAATTTATGAAATCATGCTGCTATCGTAAATATCTAGTTTGTATTTATTCACTTCTGGTGGTACAGATACTCCTCCAAGACCATCGTCCAGCAAATGTATTTTTGTTTCAGCTGAATTACTTTCTGGTTTAAGATCCTGGAAGTAGACTGTATGCCTGCCAAGAGTAGTGATTTCATTCCTGTGTGTGTAAATAATTTAAATGCTGGCAGGCACACAGTGGCTATTGAATGAATGGTCCAGAGGGGCTGCTGCTACCTGTCAGAACCAGAGTCTTTACAGTTACAGTGGTTTTCAGGATATAGACAATTTTCTCAACCATTTTCTCATCTGTAGGAGGTTAATTTTTCAAAAACGTAAGTTTCTGGTGAGAAAACTGAGGCTTTGTAGTCTTGCTTTGGGTCAGATTCTAACCCAGCACCAGATTCTAATCCAGATCTTAGAACCCAAGATGGAAGTTTTTCTCTACCTCAAGCTGCATGGCTCACTGTTATAATCTTGTTCTACACAAATGTGTCGGTTAGCGATGTGTGGGGACATAACTGGGAACCACAGGAGTTCATAGAGGTCCTGAATCACCATAGGATTTCCCATACTGGTATGCCTACTCCTTTACCCTTATGTCTTTTTGATAAATCATTGACATTTTGTTTCTTTGAAAAGCTCTTCAGAGAAATTGTGGCAAAGACAACTTCCTGGAGCCTTTCTTTTTACTTTACACAAGATGATGAATCCAAATTCCCCCTCCCCCACTTAGAAAACTACTTCTGAAATAAATGCACATCCCCCATATGCAGTAATTCTTATGTGGAGGTCTTGAAATGAACTTCAGTCACAAAATGTTCTTTTTCATATCCCTCGTGTTTACTCCAGTGCCTAACACATTTCAACTTTTCAGCAAATTATGTTCAATGAGATTTATTAGTCATTCATTTATTCATCCAACAAAATTTAATGAACAAGTATTTTGTTTGGGGCCATATAGAAAGGGAAATGCAATAATAAATTTCTTTACCCCTGAAGAGCTAAAATATGAAGAGCTAAAGATGTTGAGTTACTTCTCTAAAGAAAGAACAAAGTGCCTTCTTTTGTATTATGAGGGGATAATTGCTAAAAGTCAACACTATTTTTAAAAAGTTGATTTTCCCTTTCTACTTATATTACCATATATTAATATTATCATTATGTAATTATGTATAGGATACTCAATGATATAGAATTCTCAGGTGAATCATAAAAATGATGGATAACATGATCATATTATTGAGAATTTACTATAAGCTAGGCATAGTTCTAACTGCTTCACATTTTAAAAAAATTTAATCCTCACAATAGGATTAAATATAGGTATAACTATATTTAATATAGGTATAACTATTATCCCTATATTTTTGAGGAAAAGATCAAGACTCAAAGAAGACTCAACTTTAACTTCACTGAGACTCAGACTTCACTGAGTCTTCACAAGACTAACAAGACTCACAAGACTCACAAAACTTCACAAGACTCAACTTCACTGAGGTCACAAGAAACCAAAAGATATGAAAGTTACAAAATATGGCAAAAGTTAAATTGTACTACACTAAGTCACATTAATAGAGCAAAAATATACAATTACCATGCATAATAAGTTCATCCATTCTTCTGGTTAATATTATTAAATGCATGATTTGTGCCAGACCCTGTTCTAGGTTCTGAGAATATAGCAGTAGATAAAATAGACAAATATCCTTGGCCTTATAGATATTTGTCTTGGATATAGACAGTAAACAAGTAAGTTATACAGTATGTCCAATGCTGGTACAGGGTATGGAGAAAGATGAGTAGGTATGTGGGATGGGAGTGTGTGCAGGAGAAGGGGAGGTGGTATTTAAGGAAGGCTCAATTATAAGTGACCTTCAAGCCAAGACATAAAAGAGGTCTGGGAAAAAGGCATGTAGACATCTTGAAGAAGATCTGTCAGTCAAAGGGTATAGCAAAAGCCTATGACCCTAATGGCTGGTATGTTTGAGGAACTCCAAGGAGGGGACAGGGAAAGAATGAAGTGAATTAGGGAAAGGGTGGTTGGAGATGAAGCTAATAGGCAATCGGGAGATAACAGAGAAGCAAATCCCATGAATGGGTATTGTAGGCCATTGTAGTCTTTGGCTTTGCTCTGAATGGGAGATGATCTGATCCACATATAAAATGATCTTTCTAGCTGCCATATTTAAAAGAGTTTGTATAGGTGCTAGTGGGACAGGAATGGAGAATGAGCAACTCCTGCAAGATATGATGGTAGGAAGAAGTGTAGTGGCAGTGAAAGTAATGAAAGGTGACCAGCCCCTAGACTCATTTCAGTTGAGGCAATTATTATGTTGAACAATTTTCAGTAAATGTTAGTGAAAAGGCAAGTTGTAAAATAGCACCCATAATATTTCATATAGGTCTGAATAAAAAATTGAGGGAAAGAAGGAGAGAGAAAAGATGCACATGAAACTGATAGTAGGAGCTATCTTGGGGCAACTTGTCATATGAGAGAAATAGCAGGAGAGGGACTATTTTTAAACTTTTCAAATTTTGTTCCACTGTATATTCTACCACCTCTATACAAATAAATAATATTTGGTTTATAGATTGTAAAAATATTACACCATTAAAATATATTCTTAGAATATTTATTCATTGACTCAAGCCTTGTTATTAGAAATAAAGTCAGTACATAGCTTCATCCAAATTTAATTCTGACACTAAATTTAAGAATTGGAGGATGAAAGTCCAAAATAATGTTTAAATTCATTTTCGGAATTTTAAAACCTTGTGAAAATTCATTGTGTTCTTCCAGAGTTTAAAATATGACAGTCAATCAAGATATAGTTATTGATCATCCACTCTGTGTTCATCATTATTCTAAAAATATTCAGGTTGTCAAAATATGTTTCCGACATTTTAAAACACAAACCTGACACAAATATAGAATGATCCTATGTCAAAGATTTAATCTAATTAATCAATGGTGGATGAAACAATACAATAAAGCTACTTCAAAGGACATTTAAAGGAACAGGCACTGGCAATAGAGAAAGAATGGTGAAGTATCATTGTCGATTTAGTTGCAAAACTGGTTAAATGTCTCCAGTGCAATAAAATTATAACCTTGGGGCTTACCTTTTCTACCAAACATTAATTATTTGCATTGATTCTTAATGGAGATCTACAAGTTACTGTGAAACTTCACAGAGCAAAGACTTCTAATCAGTAACAGATTTCTTGGGGTGTTGAAAATGTTCTAAAATTAAATTGTGATAGTTGTACAATCCTGGGAATATACTGAAAATCACTGAACTGTACATTTTCAAGGGATAAATTTTATATTGTATGAAAAATATCTCACTGAAGCTGTTAAAAGTACTTGCAACACCAGTTTTGACTGGTTGACACAATTCCATTTTCTTCTTTCATTCTCTTAGATAATTAAATGATCCTTACACAGAACTTTAAAGATATTGAAAATACGTGTTTCCTGCTTTACATGTTTTCTATGTACAAGTTTGGGGTAACTTTTTTTAACAAGAAATATGATGGAGTATGTATAAGCTCTGATCCTAACTTCAGAGGAGTTACAACTAATAAGAGAACATAGACTGAAGCCACAGAGACAATAGGAGATGGGCAGATAAATATGTGATAGGGTAATAGTGAATGAGTTCAGTGAATGGTGAAACTAATAATATTTATCACTATATTTAGCCAATGGTAATTATTTTGTAGTAAGGAAAATGTTAAAACCACAATTCTTTTTTAAAAATAGAAGTTATCAAGTCTATTATGAAATTTACTTGTGAATTCACCAGATATAGAATAGCCAAACAATTTTTAAAAGAACAAAAATAGTTTCACTACCTGATTTCAAGACTTAACACTATTTCAATCAAGAACCTCTGTAATAGGCAATGAAGACAGATATATAGGGCTACATAGGTGGGTTGAGAAATAGTCTCACATGTCAATCGATTTTTATCACAGCTCCCAAGATATTTAATACAGTAGGATAATATTTTTTCAAAACAAGAAAGATAAAAGCAAATAAGAACAAATACAACAAAAAAAACTCGACCCTGTATGACATTTAAAAAAATTACTTTTAATGAACCATTGGCTTAAGTAAAGAGCTTAAACTATAAGTTTTGAAGAAAATAGGGAGAGTTCAAAACCATAGTTCTAAGGATTTTTTTTTTTTTTACATTTTAAATTGGCCCAGTGTTGAAGAGATTTGAAGAATGAAAATACAAGCTGTACTTATAGAGTATTTATAGACACATAAGACTACAGGTCACTGAAGACTACCTGTACATTTATGGTGGGAAGAAGTTTCAAGTCAGTATCTTTTGTTCCCCGTGTATTATTTTGAAAAGCAAGGCAGAGAGACAGCTGTATGTAGCTTTTTCAGTGAGTATGCAGCCTAGTGAGGGGAGATGTTATGAGCTAGGCAGGATGTGAGGGTGGGGAGATTTCCATACAGTACACAATATGTACCTGCTGGGTAAATCCCCAGGCCTAAAATAAATCCACAGTGCATTTATGTTGATTGCCACAAGCCAAGGTGTCGTGGGATGAGTTGTGGTTTGCTTTGGGCACCTAGGACTTCAGGAAGCCAACTTGATTTCTGCCTTACCTTCTGATGACAGAAAAGACCCGCAGGCACAGAAATCTTCCCCTGCGGCTCAGTATGCAAATC